AAATTAAAAAAATATATATATTTCTAATATAAAAATTAAAAAAAATTTCTTTTATATAAAAATAATTAATCAAAGATGTCCAGAAAATTTATAAAAAAAATTAAGGTTTATAAGATTCAAAGTAAATTTTTTTAACTATCAATTTAATCTAAAAATATAAGAATTTCTTTAAATTCGAAAATTTTCCAAGGCGAAAAAATAAATTTTAAGCAACATTGAAGGTTAAAAATTTAAATATATTTATAATATGCAAGGTTTTCAATGTTTCCAAGGTTAAAAAATAATTTTACGTTTAATAAGAGGTCAAATGTTGTAAATAATTACACTTTTTTTATTATTCAACACTAACACTACTTATACATAAAAATTATTTTTCACGTTGAATAAACAAATAAAATCGTCGGATCAAGAGGAACGTGGAACGAAACACTACCTTTTTGGTTTTGTCAAGTTGGCAACGAGCTAAGCAAGATAATTCTCTTAACAAGCTGTTTAAGCATATCTTTGAAAGCTGATCTGTTTAACGTGGTCTATTGTGGACTCAACCTCATTTTAAAAAATGTGGTTGCTAGGGGGGGTACATAGTCATTTTTCGTAAAAATTCATGGTTTTTCATTGACAACGCTATGATAATCAATTCCAATCAGGTTCGCCGTATTTTTCCTGTAATCTACTTGCGAATATATACACTGTAAAAAATTTAGGGAGTTAACAGCACAAGGAGTTGGGAGTTCGATTTTTCGAGTTAAAAATCAACTCGAAAAAGGAGTTAACCAAGAGTGGAAGGGAGTTCAATATTAACTCCCTTTTGAGTTATTTTATAATGGAGGATCATATTCTCCAAGTCGTGTAAGGAGTTAAAGTTGAACTCCCTAATTTGAACTGCCTTTGCTTTAACTCCCCAATGGGTGGGACTTTTATAGCATCCTCTGGGGAGTTGAAATTCAACTCCTTTTTTTATAGTGTACCAAATTTCAGCCCTTCAGATAAATTCTTGTGGCCACTAGGGGGGTTCACGATTTCAAAAAACCGGCACGGAACCCTAAATAGATATTGTATTTAAACATGCGTCCTGTTATTTCACTCAGCAAGAATACAATGTTCGATGTGGTAAATTTACATCGTTATACGTAGTAAATTAACACAAAACTTGTAATTTTACAATGTCAGACGTTGGAAACTATTTGCTTCAAGTCCGACGTAGTAAATTAACATTCTGATATTAATTTACTTTACTTGTGTAACTTCTTAACATAAATAAATCTCTCAGATTATATAATAACATACGGATTATAAAATTACGCTGAGGTTATGTTTTAATACCAGTCTTTGTAAGATTACTACGTCAAATGTGAAGCAAATAATTTCCAACGTCCGAAGTTGTAAATTTATAACGGAATTTTTTACTGTGTATTTACAGTGTATCGAGATTAAGATAAAATATGCAGATAATTTAATTCAAAACCAATTTAAACCAATCATAAGTTCAGTTTATTTAATGATTTTAATATTTGCAAAGCCATTAAAAATTAAGCCTTAAAGTGGAAAATAATGGCGGTTGGCGCGCTTGGGGCGCAGCCCCCTAATATAAATACTTATCATAGTCACTCAAAAAGACATCTCCTGAAAACCGTAGTTGTCATTTCTCATGGAATTTAACATGCTAAATTAAAAAATGCAAGCGACATTGTTTTATTACATCAGACTAATCGGATATTCTAACCTAAACACGTTAAAAAACCATTTTTTTAAACATTCAATCATCTATAAAATCATTGAAAAAAATTTTTAAGCAATTCAAATTTTAATAAAAAGTACTATTATTTGCCTTTTAAAATTTCTTTGGCTTGCTCAGATTCTATTATTTTAATTATACTTTACATACCTAATCTAAAAATCGAAAAATTTAAAAATTATTTAAACGAATAAACTTATTGTTTGCTCGTTTTTCGAAAATATGACATTGAATTCATAATCAACGACCAAGAAAACCCCCAAGTTGACATTCATATGAGCTCAGCACAACTTTTTAAATTTAAGTCCAACATTTTGAACTTTAAAATCTGATATAATCGTAATCAGCAACCCCAAAAACCTACAAATAACAATTTTTAGTTCAAGTATTTTGCAAAATTAGTTTTCCTTGTTTTTAAGTTTTTACTTATAATTTTTTCTGGAAGTCAAAGTATAATCTCTTATGAAGAGAATAAGCTGTTGCAGATTTAAATTAAAAAAATCTATTTGTATGAAATAGGAATTTCTCTCATTCTCAGTACACTGTCATTTAACATCGCATATTACGGTATGTTCTTCGTTATTTATATAGAGGAAAAAAATGATTCATGTTTATCAAATTTTTCCTTCTTTTTTGTTTATGCATACCAAAAATGAAGCTAAAAATAGTTTGCAGAATATAACCATCAGGTTAGCATTAATACAATTAGGTGTGTAATAGTTAAAGTTTAACTGGTAGTTTGAATTACTTAATACAATAATTATTAATATTATTTGTGTTTTAGATCATGACTCGTATATATCATGCAGGATATATGTACAAGAAAGACTCAAGAGTGAAAAGATCTTCTGTGTTTCGGTACATACTTTCATATTATTTTGACTAAATTCAAAGCAAAAAGTTATTTCAAAAGATATAATTGTTTATTTTAATCATTGGTACTTTTCTACTTTTAAAATTGTTGTGATAGTAATGTTAAATTGAGTCGCCGGAAAGTAAAACAACATATAAACTTCTGACTCCCATTGAATTAACATGGCCGTCAGAATTTTATGTGTGGTTTTACTTTCCGGCGACTCAATTACCTTTAAATGGAAAATATTGAAAAATAAGAATATTTAGTTGTTTTCAATAATGAAGACCTCCTGAGTATTTTTTTCGAAAAATCAAAATAATTTACTGACAGTTTTTTATTCGAACAAACGATCAAAGAAATACAAAAAAATTATAAAGAATTTTAAAATTTGGACAACTGCACTGATAAATTTTTTTGACCGAAGATAGCAAAAACAGTATATTATGTGGTAAGCGAATAAAGTAAATTTTAAGATGTTCATAAACTACGTAGCCTGTTACTAGGGAAGAGAGTTCAGTGAAATACAACCTTGGTCTTCGTAAAGGGAAATGTCATCGACTCAAACTGCATAATGTAAGGATGGTTGTATTAAAACAGATCCAATAAAATTAACACCAAAATAAATTTAGACAGAACTTTAATAAAATAAATAATGTAATTTACAATTCGCGAATATAAAATGTGTCATGTCAGACTTCGCCATTCAAACTGATTCTCTTCCCACTCTCGCTCTCGCCCCTTCCCAAGGTCCCCCCTTATCACTCGTCCCTACTCTCCGCACATTATCTTACAATATTCGACCAATCCTGACCACTCGTCCGTCCTCGGACGTGAATCAGCGAGAATACAATCAATAAAAAATTTCCGCGTTAAAATTTGACTTTGTCGACGAACATACAGAGCTATGTCATATTACTTGATGTCCAGGGCCTCATATTGGCAGGTTCCCATACACCCTCATATTTTTTTTGAGTCAACTGAGAACCCTGTATGTCCGCAACGACATAACGATCATTTCTTAAAATCTTAGTGATCACATAAGGACCCTTGAACTTTGGACGTAATTTTGGGGATATCCCTTTCGTGTTATCAAAGTTCCGAATCATGACGTAATCACCAAGCTCGTATTTATGCGCTTCTTTTCGTTTTTTGTTTACGTACTTTTCATTATAACTCTGATTCTTTTCGATTTCGGTACTTGCTTTATTTCTCAATTCTTCTAAATTTCTACTAGTTTTATTAATTTCATTTTCAACAAATTCTTTTATTTCATCCGAAAATTTGCCTCGCTGGTCCACCCCGAATAACATTCTACTTGGTGTTTCACCCGTAGTTTTGTGTACACAATTATTTATCGCATACTCAACCTCGTTGACAACTTTCGGCCACGTTTTACCACTATCATGCTCACTTAATTTAGCCAACGTCGGTGCTAAAAAACGATTCGTACGCTCAACCTGGCCGTTCGCTTGTGGCGATGCGGTAGCTACTTTTACATGTTTCACGTCGAACTCCGTCACAAAATTATTAAACTCTTCTGACGTAAAGCACGCGCCCCTATCAGATATCAACACTCGTGGTTTGCTATAAGCTGCGAAATATTGTTTTAAACAAGTGATCGCTTCCACTGACTTTGTCGACTTGGTCGGGTACAATTTAGTAAACTTTGTAAATCCATCTACTACTACGAGAATGTGCTTTTTACTGGGAACTCGAGAATCAAAAATAACCTCATGATCTATATGTATTATCTCAAATGGTGTATTTCCCTTCGGAATCGTTTTCACAAATCCCTCGGCCTTGCCTAACTTAGGAGCAAAAGCGATGCACCTGTGACACATTGCAACATGTTCTTTAATTTTTTGTATTAATTCCGGGAACCAATAGGTTCTGCTCATCGCTTCATACATTTTATCGATGCCTACAAGTCCTGTCTCCTCATGATATTTAAATAACAAGTTTTTCTTCATTGAGGACGGTATATAAAACAATAACTGACCACTCTTTTTTCTAAATACAACGCCGTTTCTTGCTTCGAAAAACTTTTCTTCTGAATTCTCTAAACGCTTTGCTATTTTCTATATTTTTTCGTCTTTCGATTGAGCGAAAGCTAAATTTTTTTCAAAAGTATTATCTTCAATGACGTGAATGCAATTCGCCCTACTCAGGCCATCGGCATGAGTTATACGTCTGCCTTCGCGATGTTCTGTCGTACAATCATAATTTTGGAGTTCTAAAACCCATCTTTCAATGCGCGTATTTATATCTTTTTTCTTCATGGCTAGAGTAAGCGAATTGCAATCCGTTATTATTTTAAAAGGTTTTCTTCACAGATATATTCTGAATCTTTGCAACGCGTAAATAATAGCTAGCATTTCTAGCTCGAAACTATGATATTTGCTTTCTGCTTTAGACTTTCTTTTCGAAAAATAAAAAACTGGATGAAAGTTCAAGTCCTTTTTTTTGCATAAGAACTGCGCCGAAACCGAGTGCACTTGCATCGCAGTGCAATTCAGTCTCGCCATCAGGGTCGTAAATTGCCAAAATCGAGGCTTTGACTAATTTATTTTTTAACCTTTCAAATGACTCGAATTCACTTTCTCCATACTTGAACTTTACTCGGGTTTTAGTTAAATCATACGAAGGTTTTGCGATCGTAGAGAATCCTTCAATATATTTCCGGAAATATGACGCCAGACCCAGAAACGATTGAACCCCTTTGACGTTACTTTTTATGTACTCAAGTTCATACAATTTACGTAACCGATCATGATGTTTTGACTCTACCTCTGGATTTATTTTCATCTCCTTCTCCTCGCTCATCCCTTCCACGTCGATATTTAGTACCTCTCCTACAGCCTCTTCATACCCTGTAGATCCCTCAATCATTCTCAATCCAAACTGTCTCAACGCATCTCGTCCTAACAAAACAGGAGAATACATTGTGTCATTATCAACCACCAGTAAATCAATTGTTCTACTCTTATCGATCATTAGTACATTTATTTTAATAGTCCCCAAAACATTTAATTTAGATTTATTTATCCCTACGTAGCTTTCACTCTTATTCGCAACATTCTTTATCAACTCAGGTTTAACTAATTTTTTCTTTATAAGACTTACCGCGCTTCCGCTATCCAAAAGAGCACGCACAGACAAATGGTAAATTTCATTGTCGGCTTCGATATCTAACTCTAAAGTCATATAAAAGTCTTCTTCCCGAGCTGGTTGGATGTTGGCCACCTACGATGATTGTTTCTTGCTGCGCTGAGGACAATCTTTGATAATATGCTCCGTAGGACCACATTGATAACAAGAACCCTTTTTTCTTTCCGGTTGATCACAACTTGTAGCAAAGTGACCAATCTTACCGCAGTTGTAACACTTCGTAATTTCATGCTTTTTCTTCCTGTCGTCTGTCACCTTTCCCTTAATGTCTCCACTTGCTGATCCTTCCCCCACTTTTGTCACCTTCGAAGTTGACTCCTTGCTGTTACTGCTAGCGTGCAAAGATACTTTTTCGAATGTTAACATTAATTCATCTATTCCCTGAAACCGATGAATTCTAGCTTGGTCCCTCAACGAAACATCAGGGATGCCCTCGATGATATAGTCCACTCTTTCCTCCTCATCAATTGGTACTTTATTGGCCAAGATGATTTTATCATGGACATATTCGCTGAAAGATTCCTCCCGTTTCCAGATTCTTTCTTCGAACCTTTTCCTCAGGAGTGTTTTATTTGGTCTCCTGTAGAACATTCTCCTCATAGCTGCGAATAACTCCTCTATTGGCAGCTCTATATGTTCCAGTTTGGAGTGGAACCAGGTGAGAGCTTTCCCTTTTAACTTCGAGCAGAGCAAAACTCGTGTGACGTCATCGTACTGTCGACACTCTTCGGATGACGTCGCTTGCGGTTTCATTTAATCCACCAATGCCATCATTTTGCGAGGAATCACTCATCCTGAGTGTATGTGTCCCACTATTTGATTCAATCGAGGAAACTTCTCTATCCAACCGCTGTAATTCCATCGTAACTTCTTCCAGTTGCTTGGTGATGGCTTCTCTTTGCTGAATAGCTGCTTGTCGTGCCTGGAGACGTTTTTCTTCTTTTTTTCTTGCTTCTTCGATTTTCTTATTGGCGGCTGTCAATCTTTCCAGCAATTCTTCATTCTCCAACAGCACCGCATCTGCATCGTATTGACCGCCATCTTGTTCGTCGTTGTTGCTCCGTGACCCGTTCCTGGTAGACTCATTCATCCAATTTCCCTCTGGATCCATTTCATTCAAGCGCATTGAGTTCGGCCTTGTTCCCCGTCGTGCTACCTCCTAGAGACTTTAATATCTCTTTCAGCTCGAGAACACACTCGGACTAAACGAACTTCAGTTTTTTCACCAGGTTTTCACTCACAGCACTGCTAAGATCCAGAGTACTCCGAAAATCACCACCAGAACATGAGGGAACACAGAAATCACAAACGGTTCCGATTCGCGTTCATAGAAACCGTTGGCAACCGACGCCTTGGCGAGAGACGCGTCGCGTCAATTTTGATTTCGAACATTAAAATTCTTTAAAAAGGCTGACTTCTATCCCACTTCTGAGACTGTAAGGATGGTTGTATTAAAACAGATCCAATAAAATTAACACCAAAATAAATTTAGACATAACTTTAATAAAATAAATAATGTAATTTACAATTCGCGAATATAAAATGTGTCATGTCAGATGTCGTCATTCAAACTGATTCTCTTCCCACTCTCGCTCTCGTCCCTTCCCAAGGTCCCCCCTTATCACTCGTCCCTACTCTCCGCACAATATCTTACAATAATTTATATTAACTGAAATTAATAAATTTATACGACTATTAGTTTCACCGTTCACTGAAGATTTCTAAAAAAATTGATAGGAAATTTTAAAAAATGGTTTTGTAAGGTCACCGAACCTTAAACTTTGAAAACCTGGAATTTGAACGTATAGAAAAATCTTCTAAGGCTAACTTGATTCTACCCTGAGCGCTTTGTTTCAAGACTAGCAGCTACCTAGAAACTTTGGCCAGCGGCTAGACAAAAATGTAACGCTACAAGTGGTTAGATTCTGGTCAGTCAGGCTAGTCAGATTGTTTCGAGAGAAAATAGTCAAATTCTAAAATATTTCTTTTCGAATTTTGAACCAGCCATTTTGAATTTTTTTAATTTATCATCGAATTTGGTTCCAATTTTAAATTTCATAATAAGTACTTTCTACACCTTAAAAAAAGTAATCTTCATTCTAGAGGATTCCTCTAAATGTAATGCATATTTTCCTCTTAATTTTGGTATCAAAAGTAATAATCTTAATTTAGAAGGATTTTCCTCTCGAAAAAATCCTCTTAAAGGAAGAATAATATTCTAATATTTTGACAAGTTGAAAATAACCGTAATACACAGGCTTTGAATAAATTATTAGACAATAATGGTTATGTATTGATAATAATAAGTACAGTTTTGACACATTGAATTAAATGTTGATATCAAAACCTTAACAAAAAAAAATTCCTAGTGTTATTAATGTCAAGAGAACCAATAATTTTTTTAAATTTGAATAATATAATAAATATTTAATAAGATTTAATTATTTACATTCAAAAAAGGTAAATTATAATAGATTCCTGGAATAAAGAATGAAGTATTGGTTTTTAATTAAACATTTCTGAAAAAATTTCTTGCTTTTTGCTGAGCATGAATACATTAGATTTAATTACAATAATAATAAAAAATGCTATAGCCAGTTGCAAATATCAAACAAGTTCGACGCAAATATTTAAGAAAATTAGTAAGAAATGAAGATTCATCGAGAGTTTATATTTTTGGTATTTATATCTCCATTCAATATATCCACCCAGATTTAAATCATTTAGTAAATCTTCGAGTCTCTTTTCCATTTTGGTCTTTCGATTTATAACACCAGACTATTATGACAAAATACGAAAATTGACAGTTTCGAAAAACAAAAGCGCAAATGTCAAACAGGAAAAAAATGTAATCGATATCATGTATTTACTTTTCCTTTTTTCAAATATACTAAATTTAAACAGGAAAATTGTAATTGAAGAGGAAAATGCAAAAGTACTCCTTTTGTCATTGTTCCATTACAACAAAGAATAAAAATATTCTACAGTGAAATGGAATATTCGTATTTTAAGAGGAAATATTCAGAGGATTTAAGAAGAGGAATTTTCCTCTAAATTTAAGATTACTTTTTTTTGGGTGTAAGATGTCTGTATACTGGTCTCAAGTTACCCATGTGGAAATATTTACGTGAAAATCTACGCGTTTCTTAAGCACGTAAAATTTTGGGTGGTATTTTATTTGAAATAATTACACTTAGAAATGAACGTGGAACTTAATAAATAAGAAAAACCTTTTAATATTTCTAAACGGTTACATATTAGTAAAATTTAATGTCATTTTTGAATAACTTTTATTGTATTAAATGACTTTTTTGTACACGTAATACAATATATTAAGAAATTATAAAATATACATATTCATAAGGGAAGGTGGGTAATGGGAGCTTTTAAATTTCAAGTACACAGAGACTTTGAATTTCGTGGAAATAACTCGGAAAACTTGAACAATCTTCCTGTATGTCATACGAAGACAAACGGTCACATTTCTGACAGATTTGTAGAAACTACAAGGAAAAATCAAGTTTTCGAGTTTTTCTTCTTAAATGGAAAATATTTCCGGAGATCAAAGTAAATGGTTTAAAATTTATTATTTAATTATGTTTTGTGATTTTATTAGAGATAAATATGTGTAGATTTAGATACATGAATAAAAATAGAGGTAATAATTAAATTTGTATATGTTTTTCTTCTCTTTTTCAAATTGTGGCCTTTGAAAATTCTTTGTGGTAATGGGAAAATTGTGCCAGCCAGCAGAGTTTCGTTACCTCGATATGGCTTTTCTTATTTTTTTGAAAATTAAACAAGATTCATTTATAAAATTTGATATTGTTGCATACTTAATTGCTAAGAATCAATATCTGTGTTTTATTGTCAAAAATCTGTTATTACTGGATATTCTAATACTAAAGAAGCTATAGGTCTTTTTTATGTCTTAAATATTTTGTAAAATGTTCATCTGTTGAGAACTATTGACAAAATAAGAAAAATATCTAAAGAAAACAAAAATGATATCATTTTATTGGAATTTCAAGTGAGAGCTCCCCATTACCCCACAGGTGGGGTAATGCATTTTTTTAGAAAACATTTTTTTTGTAAACTTACTTTTTTGTTCTTAATTTCCAATTAATTATAATTAAAGATAAATAACAAAAGGAGTAAAAAATGACCAAAACAATATTTTATTATAACAATAAGTTGGTTTTTTTAATCATTGTCCTTGAGGGGCTCCAATTCCCCCACCTTCCCCTACCATGTATAATTCGCGTAAGTACATGGAATTCCACATAGATTTTTACGAAAATAATATAAAGAATTTCTACATTTATTTCCACGTAAACATTTTCGCCTGGATAAGTACTAACAATAAGAATGTAATTTTTGCAATTATTTATTGGTTGATGATTTTTATTTTTTTTAGAAAATACTCTTATCAGTGAAAAATTAATACTTTAAAAAATATAATATGCCATTTTACAAACATTTTCATTTAAAGTTGTTTTAATCTCATAGTTTTGAGTATTTATATATAGGGGAGGACGGGGCAAGAATAGTTAGGTAAGACGTTTTCGAATCTAGCGACCAAACCTGAATTTGTGTCTGCAAACGAGTAGTATTTCTGGAAAGCCTGGTTATTTGGCTATAATTTTGCTATACATTATTTTGCTGTAGACTGCAATCCCTGTGAGATACGAATGAAAAATTAAAAAAAAATTTTAACTATCCTTGCCCCAGTACCGGGGCAAGGATAGTTAAAAGTATCCAAATACTAAAAATGTCATAGAAAATCAGTAAATTTTCGTTTTCTTTACTTTATTGAATTTAGACTATTCAATATTGATATGTCAAGTATTAATAACATGTTTTGAACATTTTCTAAATATCAATTATAGCATTAAAATTCATCTGAACTAGAATCTGAGGTTTAAACAATTTTCTTCAGATGATCACCAATTTCTTGGTCAATAAGCTTCGTTTTCCGTATATAATTACACAACAATATGTACACTACCGTCGGAAATTGTCGGTACGGCTAACGTGCGAGGAGTATAAATTTGGTGCTGACTTTAAAGCAAGATATTTTAAGTTAGAAAAAAGATAGAGACTTCTAACTGAGATGGTTTGAAAGCTGATAAAATTCAGCTTCTCAATGTATATCAAGAAATTTTTTTCTTTTTTTTGGTATTTATTACACCGAAAAGATTTTAAGAAAAAATTATGCAATTTTCTACTTTTGTACTAATGTTTTTTGACTCCCGGCATAATCTAGAATAATGCATGGGAAAATTTGACAATTTTACAACATAATCTTTAGGGTCTTAGCTTTAATTTGCATTTTTGGAACTTAAAAAATGTTTAGTGGTTCCTGAAATATGTTAAAAAAGGTCCGAGCATGTTTTCCTACAATTCAGCCGTCAATCATCACTTTTCGCCGCCTCGCTGCTGCGTTGTAAAAAAACATTCTTGAACATTTTTTAACATATTTCAAGAACTACAAATCATTTTTGAAGTTTCAAAAAACCAAATTAAAGCTAAGACCCTAAAGATTGGGTTAAAATTTGAAAAGCAAAAAATATTTTGTAGTTCCTGAAATATGTTAAAAA